GGTCACTGCTCTATCCAAGAAGAGGCAAAGGGAGGAGTTATAACTATCGTACTAGGTCAAGGTCACACGGTTATCACTGGTCAAGGTCAAGGTCACCCACATACAGAAGATACCATTGAGGGTCGGGGTCTCCAGTATTCAATGAACGGGGAAGGAGAAGGGCACTATTTTAACAGATAATGGAAGTTCCACCAAATGATATCAAAGCTTACTGCGGCAGATCTCTTAGCTTTTGTGATCTGATTGAAAAGGAAAGAGAGAGAAGGGGAAAAGGAGTAGAGGAAATGGTATGAAAAGGGCCGTGCTGCTGGTGCTCAGCCTCGACCTCCAGTAAACAGAGAGATCCTCCCTCCAGATAGGTTTGGTCCATCTGGGACCAGACGAGAGGATCTGCCATATGCTCCGGGATGTAGGGAGGATTATCTGGGTGGGCAGAGCTACCAAAATCGTAACAGAACTGGAAATTACCCTGAAAAACCTTCTGGAAGAGAGAGCCAGGGTATCAAAGATCCTACAAAATCCAAAGAGAAGGAGGTGGAAAAGCCACTGGGAGATGACAAAGGAAATAAACATCAGAAACACCAGAAGAGAAAAGGGGTTGAGAATGAAGGATTTCCCAATGCTGCATTGTTAGAAGGTGAAAGAAAATCATGAGACATTAAAACAGACTGTTCGTGCTCCCAAGCAGAGATGACACCACCCCTGTGAGAGTTGAGCCTATGAAAGCAGGTCTATCGCTTGCAAATTAGTGTCTGAAAAAGGGAAAAAAGGCAAAGTCACAAGCAGAAATTGAAGCACGAAAGCAGAAAGTAGAAGTGGCTATTCCTGCGAAGAAAGACAATATAATAAAACCAGAGAAGGTGGACACTGACTGTGAAAATCTTCTCGAATGGAAAAAGTGATGGAGGAGAAGCCGACCTTAATTTGTTTATGCTCTTAATTGATCTTCATGTCTCATGTATAACATTTCTGAAGCTGTGCATACTCTTATGTTGGGAAAAAGCACACAGCATCAATTCGCTTTTCTCAGTGTTTAGCTGTAGCCGCTGACCCCTCCAGAGCAAAGTTATTTTATGTGAGGAGAGGAAAAGAAGGTCCGTCCCCTAACAGTCCCATTGAGTAGAAGTGCTGATGACTGCAGAAGTGACTTTCAAGCAGCTCAGCTGGGCTAATAGTGAGATGTTCACAGAAACACAGAATCACAGAATCATCTGGGTTGGAAAAGACCTTGAAGATCATCCAGTCCAACCATTAACCCAGCACTGACATTTCCCAACTACAGCATGTACGTAAGTGCTAAATCGACGCGACTCTTCAACCCCTCCAGGGATCCCGGGGACTCCCCCCCTGCCCTGGGCAGCCCATTCCAACGCCCAACAGCCCCTTCTGCACAGAAATCCTTCCTCAGAGCCAGCCTGACCCTGCCCTGGGCAGCTTGAGGCCATTCCCTCGGGGCCTGGCGCTGGCTCCTTGGCTCCAGAGACTCATCCCCCCTCTCTGCCCCCTCCTGGCAGGGAGTTGCCGAGGGCCAGGAGGTCTCCCCTCAGCCTCCTCTTCTCCAGACTGAACCCCCCAGTTCCCCCAGCCGCCCCCCAGCAGACCTGTGCTCCAGACCCTGCCCCAGCTTAGCTTACTGCTAAGCTTACTGTTCAGCTAAGCTTACTGCGCTGAGACCAGAATCTTCATGGGGATGTATTATCAATTGGGCAGCTTTCTCTCTAGATTTCTTATGTGAGAGTTCATAAGCATTGATTTGTATTAATGTAGTGATTTTGTTGTACTCCACTACTTGTTAATTCTGACTTGGGGGTTTGCTCTAATGACAGTGCTCTTTAATTCTAGCTTGATTGAGTTTATAATGGCTTTTAGTAAGACAAGTCACTTTCTTTTTTTTTTTTTTTACATTTAATAAAAACATTAAGGCATTATTTCAAACAATAAACAACGTACAATAGAAAGAAACCCGGCTGGGTATGTCTTTAATTGGGTGTGTTGTATATTACAAGCCATGTCAGGTCACTGCAAATTAACCCGATTGGTCAGTGTGGTAAACAGCTCCCTTTTACGTTCGTTTTCTTTCTCATATTGCATGCATCAAAAAGCACAAGAAATTAAAGATAAGAAAAAAATCATGAAAGGTAAAAATAAATAAAGATAAGCCAATCATGAAAGGTAAAAATAAGAAAGAGGCAATAGTTATTAAAGTCATAAACCTAAGAAAATATGCCAGAGCTCATTTGCAGGGGGATCCCATATTGGTGTGATTGGTGAAGAAATAGCCAGAAGGTTGCTGACAAACTCAGGACGCAGCAAGTAGATTCCCTCTCCACATTTTAAGGTTTCTCCGTCCTTGAAATGAGACCTGAGAGGACTCTGGGGATTTTTTTCCTCCTCTAGCTCCAAAGCTCTTTATCACTTCATCCCAACGTCGCTGCCGTACAGCTCTGAAGAATGGAGGATTAAGGGGGACCAGTGAATGGGGAGGGGATGGCGGGTGGAGGGTTGGTGCTGAAGGGAAGAAGTTTCTTTGTCCTTCTCTCACAGTCTTAGTGGACGTTGGCATGAGAAATCATTTCATTGACCTCTTTACAGATTATTAGTCCATTTGACACAAAACCTAACTTGGAGGCAATCACACAAAGGCTTCACCCCCAAGTCCCTTTGCACTAAACTCCAGAGAGAGGAGTCCACGCTTCAACAGCCAACTTCAACAGGACAACAGCTCGGAGGGGTGCTAACAGGCATCCTCTTGCTCCCCTCTCGAGGAGCAGCACCCCGTGGCTTCCACTGACACAGGAACCCGTGGACAGATGCTCCAAACCAGGCCTTGGATGTGCTGTGCAAAAAGGACAGGGCTCAACAAGTTTGGTTCCCTCTATTTATCTTTATCTTTAATTCATTTCGTAGCCCTTCTGTTTCCTCACGGCCCTGTGTTCAAGAGCTGCCCCATGTAAAGCTCAGCCACTTCTCAGGAGAACGCTGTCTAGCAGTGAAATGAGGTTCTGCAGCCGCTGTGCAGTGACGTGGGTGGCTTCCCGTGGGACAGCAGCACGTGCAGAGCGACAGGGCTGGTTTTGCAAGCAGAGTTGAGCACGTGATAAGAAGACGTGGGCCATCGGGCATGCTTACAGCAGTCACAAAAATGACTCGGAGAGAAAAACATCTAGAGGTCCATGGCAGATGGTTTCCTGAGTGGGATTTGTTACAAGTTGGCATGGACAGAGTGGGAAAATCACGGATTAGTGAGGACTAAACACACTCCACTGACTTGCAGCTGGGATGTCACAAACCACACGTGTCATACTAATTGTTGTTTAAGCCTTGTGTGTTTGACAAGTAGAACACCTGTGTTCAGATAACACGGGCCTGTGAGAGGCTCCGACACACCTCATCCAACACCCTCGAGATTCCTGAGCTGCTGCGGGAAAGATCAAACCCGGGGGTGACAACGCCTGGTAACCCCAGGTAAAGAGGTGAGAACTGCAGGGCCGGTGGGTCTCCAGCGAGGCCCCAGCTCTGCGCCCCCCCTGCTGCTTCGGGGATCCCCAGTCAGCGAGCTGATGAGAACAAGTTTACTCTCTGCATTTCATCCATAATTTTGTGGTTCCTCCTGCATCTGCCTGTGCTGACACACACAGAGTTTACCCCACTCTGCAGCCCACATGTCGTCTTATTTGCCCCCATCTGCCATGCAAGAAGGAACCAAGCGTAGAGCACAAGATGCCGTTGACAGAACACAAGCCTGACAGCAGATGAGAAACTGGCTTAGCTGTAACTCTAGTCTTAAACTGATTAAAAGAAAAAAAAATTACAAAAGAAAAGAGAAAGTGAGAAGAGATCTCGAGGGACTGGAGCGAGGGCAGAGGAGGGCAACGAAGGGCTGGAGAATAAATCCTGTGAGGAGCCAGGGAAGGAGCTGAGAGTGTTGAGTGTGAGGAGGAGGAGGCTGAGGGGAGCCCTCATCCCTCTCTGCAGCTCCTGACAGGACATTGCAGAGAGGCCGGGGCTGGGCTCTGCTCCCAGGGGATCAGGGACAGGACAAGAGGGAACGGCTGGAAACTGCCACAGGGGAGGGTCAGGCTGGGCAGGAGGAGAAAATGTTTCCCAGCAAGAGTGGTCTGAGAGTGGAACAGGCTGCCCAGGGAGGGGGGAGTCCCCATCCCTGAGGGGTTTCAGGGCCGTTGGGATGAGCTGTGGGGGATTTGGGGTAGGGGAGAGCTTTGTAGAGTCGGGCTGAGGGTTGGACTCGCTGATCCCAAGGGGCTTTTCCAACCCGAATGATTCTGGGATTTAAAAGCCCTGAGCTGCTGCCCTGATATTGCTCATTTCTACCAGTTACCAGTATTTGTGTGACGGTTGTGGCTGGAGATTGGAATGTTCTTGCTAAGCCTGACTTTAAGGCTGCAGTGTAACAGTACGCAAGGTGAGCAAGACCAGCCAAGGCGCTCTCAGGAAGCCCAGTAACGTGCATTACACCATTACAGCATCTTTATCCCACGTTGTGCTGGGTTTGTGTGTGTGGTGGGGCTGGGGGCGGGGGGGGGGCTGTAAGAAGCTTCTCAAAGCTCCCCAGGTGGGACCCACCTCTGGCCGAGGCCGAGGCTGTGACGGCGGCTGCAGCTCTGCAATAATTTCCTCCTGAGAATATTCAGTGTCACCTACAGCAGCTGACTGGGGAAGCAGCAGGCAAGAGAATGAACCCACCAGTTAGAACGAACCATTTCCTCTACATTTCTGGGCATATACTCCCTCCACTCTCACAAAGATCCTGATTGTAAAAGGCCTGATCGAATGGAGAACACTTCAGCGTCATCGTAAGGACACCCGGACCAACAGATATGTCTGTGCATTTCCGTATCTCTCAGGAGGAAGATGCTGCATTTTGAGGTCATGATCTTGGCAACAGTACAGCATGTGATCTCCAGGCATCTGAATGCTTCGAACAGAGCCAAAAAAATCCCCGAGCTAAACCCACAAGGAATGTCACAAACAAACATCCATTTTAAGCTGATGGTTTATTTCCAGTTCCTAGAGGCCACAGATTAAAAAAATCCTTAAAACAATCTGTTTCCCAGGTAAAAGTACACCATTCATTCCTCTCCTTGCCTTCCCAAAGCACTGCTGACTGTATTTCTTCACAGCATGGGGCAGAAATGGCTAAGCCTGTTGCTCATTTTTGCATATGAGCGGATTCGTGACTCGCTGCAGACTGCTGACCTCAGCGTGGTGGAATGTTCTGGGCACATATGCCACTGGAAAGAACGAAAAGAAAAAAAAAAAAAAAGTCAAAGTCAGTCACAGCTCCAGCAAATGTCAGAGCAGGCCATCTGCACAGTCAGTGTAGCTGTATTTCTCAGCCATTCTGGGACGTTATTATTGCATATGCACACTTCAAAATGCTAGGGGTAGAGTTTACCAAAGTGTTACTGCTCGTTCGGTTCTGCTCCCACTGAAGACAGACCCCCATGAATTCCAGTAGGAGCAGAATTTGGACAATTTGGAAAGCCTGGGGGAAAAAAAAACGCCTCTCATTTAAGAAAGTTCAAATTTTGCCTGATTATACCTGGGGATTTGAAACAGCTTTCATGTTACAGCGTTCTTTGGGTGGTTTTATATGACAAGAACTGGCCCAAGTGAGGACTGGACACGACAAGCACAATGGGAGGAGTCAGTGGACACTCACCCACTGATTTTCAGCTTAGGAGTAGCAAAACCTCCTGACAATCCTGACTGCTTGGACTAGGCAGCAGATCAGGTCTCTTTAGGTCTAGCTTAAAGACATCGACACAAAAGCAATCTGGCACCACTGACTCCAAAATAAAACACTAAGACATACAGCCATGTTGTGGGTAACAACAACCCAAAACCAACACACAAAACCATTTCTCCCCTTTTATTCACCTGACATCTTGGGGAAGTTTTACTGTGCAGCACCCAAACCCGTTTTTCAAATTTTAAATGGAATTTAGTAGGCACTGATCTGCAGACTGCAAAAGTAAAGCACTCACCTGAGAATGCCTGGCAGGTTCATGATCCTGCACATGCTCATTCTGAAAAAGCAGGGGAGGATTTTAAAGCATTTATTTTACAAAGCCTACCCCTAGTGATTATCTTCTGTTATCTGGAAGCATCCAGAGGCCCCCACCACTAATAGGCACCATTTGTGCCTGACATCTCGTGCAACTACCTTACAGAGACAACCCCACGGAAGAGCAAAGCAGCAGATACTCCGCACAACGCAGTATCGCAGGGCACAGCAGAGCAAAGGCAAGGACTCCTACATCCCAACACAGTCACACCCACGAAACTCCACCGACCCTTCACGGGTCCTGCTCAACACGCTGCCAGAATATGGTGTTATTTGCGTTTCATTTTGATGGCGTGTAAAAACATCGATTCAAAAAAAACCCTCAGAACCATTCCAAACCAAGCTCTGCCATTTTGCACAGGATCTCATTTTCATTTCCCGCAATACCTGCAGGCTCCTACTTTGCAGACCTCTATGCTTAACACCTTCGAAGGTCTGTATTCCCCAACCGCCTCTGGACTCGTCACAGCTGGCACCAAGCCAGCAGCACGGCAGGGTGAACGGCCTGTCAGGACACCACCAATTAAATTTAGGATCCGGTTTAATGAATGCCTGGCTCAGCTGGAAGTTTCTCTACTAAACTAGTAAGCTTGCTTGTATGCAATTTGGTTCAGGTCATTTCAAATCCACAACTGGCATCATAATTTTAAGCATCTTAACAAAATAAAATTAAAATCAACCCATTACCATGGAATATTTAGATTTATGCAACCTTTCTTTACCAAAAGAAGAATGGTTTGTCACAAGTTTTTCTGCTACCTCTTGAGAGCTGAACCTCACTCTCCCAGGAGCTGGAATAATGGAGACAAGCTGAGAGCTTGCCCTCCTAACTCGAGTGACTCCACATTTGTTGCAATTAGGAGCAGGTACCACCAGCTCCGTCCGGACTGAGTTCAGGGATGGGGTTAGACGCTCACTACAGAAACAGCAGTGTCACTATCGGATAGTCCTGCCCTGGGGCTGCTTGTTGAAACCCCACAGCTCAGCTGGTGGAAAAGTTCATGAGACTGTTGACCATCTCTTCAGGGTAGTCAGCTGGCTCGGGTTCAAGAGCCCTTATTGTTGGGTGGAGGCAAACGGTCCATGGCCACCTCCACAGGGCTGGGCCACAACTCCTTCCATCAGGCTTGTGACCTGCCTGCAGTTCTGTTTCTGACCTTCCCTTGAGACACGGCCAAACACATTCCAAAGCTTTTTCGGTGATGCAAACAAGGATAAAAATAAAGCTCTCACCTATGAACCCAGCCAAAAGCCGAATGCAGTTCTGGGCTACCTGACTGGAGGCAGCATTCTAGCGTGCCATTCCCAAGCCACGTAGGAACCACAAAGTTTTTAGACATTCAGACACTTGAACAAGTGAATACTGTAGTGGGAAATCCAAGGAGCTGCTATTACACCTTCAACTGCCCGGTCACAGCAGATGCAGAGATCTTGTTAACTGACCACCGTACTATCACGCTGTAAAGCAATTCATTCACGCTCACTGAAGAAGTTCTGTCCAATATGTACAGAACTCACTTGGTATTAGCACAAGCCTAACTTTGCAAAAGTGACTGCTCCACATCTCATTATATAAATAACAGAAAGAATACCAAAATTGGCACACACTGGAAAAGAACAGCTGCTCAAGCCTGCGTACTGTAATGTGATTATTCATGAAGCATTCAAAAGGCAGAGATCTAATCCAGGGTCACCTGCCTAAAACAGCCAGACTAGATCTGAAAACCTGTCAGTCAGTGGAACTACCACAGGAGCAGAAAAGGGAACCAGCTTCACACTGTGAACTGTACATGAGGATTCCTTCGAGCATCCTTCTGTCTTGTAGAATTACAGGTACATCGTTCCTTTATTTTGTGATGCTTCTGTACTGCAGGTATGCATCAGTATTTCTGACAGGGTCTAAAAGTAGTTTTCCCTACCATAGTCTCACTTCTCTACCGCCTGTGTCACAGGTTGGCTGTATATAAAACAGCCAAATGTGTCACGAGTTTCTCCCTTCAAGAGACTCAGCAAGAGGGCTGGGCATGGAATTGGTTTTCCTGCCCTCTAACTTTTTTTATCATTTTTACTCCAAACTTATGACAGAGAGTTTAAATCTTGATGGAAAAAAGAAAAAAAAAAACACACAAAAAAACCCCAACAACCAAAACCCAACTGTTTCATTCAGACATCTCTGGTATCTTATGTGCTGATTTATAGACACTAAAATTACAGTGAAATGCCAACTGGCATAAAACTGCACTTTGAAAAATGTCAGAATGCAACCTTTTGATCATCTGCCATGTTTTTTCCTCATTTTCTCCTGGAAAAGCTTGTCAAACTCACTCCACAATATTCCTGCTTTGATAAATTCTCCTGCTGTGAGGAATGTATTTCATGTGCAAACTCGATCCCCTTCCACTCAGCATGAAAATCAGGAGTCAAGAGTGCAGCCTCAAAACCAGCCCAGGTGAGAACCAACTAACTTCAGTGCAACAAAAATGTCTTCTTTGACTTCACGCTTTTCACATAGAACTGTGAAGTAATCAAGTATAAACTCCTCAGCTTGATGCTTAAGAATGCATTGCACATGGCAATCCACTTTTGTTAGATTTAGGTTGTTCAGATAAGCCCCTTCCAACCTTTCTCTTTTTCCTTGGAACAGCTGAATTTTTCCTGTAAAAAACAGGACTGTATCAAGGGAGGCTGTTGAACCTCTTTTCAGATTCTTCTTCCAAATTTTCAAAGCTGAAGGGGAAATAAAACAAATCAAATTAAATGTAACTGTGTTTCTGGAGAAAAATACCTTGTTTAGTACATGCATGTGTCTATCCATACCTACGTACACAGAGAGAGGGGAGAAGAGGTAAGTGCACACACGTGGAATGTATCAAACTAGTATATATCAATCCAACTTTGGGATGAAAATGTACAAACCAGCTTCTGCATTTGTAAGTCAGTACAAATTGATTACTTTCATTACATGTATTAAAATTAGGAAAAAAAAAAATCAGTCAGTGTCATGCTGGTGGCATGTAGCTCTGCTGGCCTGATTCATACAGGAGATGTGTCTGTGAGGGGAACCAAAAAAAAAGACAATAAACCAAATAAATAAATAAACCAGTAAAATAACTTCACATAAAAGTTACTACACTGGAATGAAAGCCACAACAATTCAACCCAGACTAAAAATGTCAAACTATTAAATCTTCTGGGGATATTCTAAAACCTGATGCTTTGGGGTGGGAATTAGCTTTGTGTTTGTTGGGGGGGGGATTGTATTTCCTCCCCTCATCTTGTTGCGAGAGGAAAAATACAACTGGCTCACGCTCTCGTGAAACCCCACACCCCTCCTGCCTCAGCCCACTCGGAGGGACGGTCCTTAGCTTTACCTACAACTCCTAAGCCGTGTTGTTGTTCCTAACAGCCGGATGAAAACAAACCACCCGATGGCATGGGATGGCACTTCTGGCTGCAGTGACTGCGCTGTCCTGTATAAACACCCTGGTCCAGCAAACGTGGGCAGCCAGGCAGGAGCCGAGGGAGGAACGGCATCTGAACAAAAGGCCATGAGCACAGCCGGGCAGATTATCAACACCACTGTCCGTGACACGGGAACAACGACATTTTCTACTCGTCTTCAATTCTGTTTGCTACGGAAAACCTGAAGTTGACAAAAGTTGGCAAGGTTGTTGGAGGGATGGCCCTTACACACTTGGAAGCATCCCAACAGACTCTGCTCTCTGAAGCAGCACTCCAAACTAACTGCATTCTGAAAGCTTTGCTACACAGAACGATCCTTCATTTTATCTCTAATCAATGGCCTTACGTTACTTTCCTTACATTACCTACCTATATCAACAGGAGCGTTACATGGGGCATCTCTCTGGCATCTTAGTTCAGGAAAGCAAACTATGCTAAAGGGAAACACGCCGAAGCCTACGAAAACTGATGTGACGTGATGGCTACGTGCTGGCGGGTCCTCCTGCTCTAATAGAAAAAGTCTCCAATTGATCTCAGTGGTGTTTCCATGATCCTTCAAGTGCCTTTGATAAAACCTGGAAACCCACTGCTAGACTGATTTTTCAGAACACCCTAAACGCAACAGAACAATGAAGTATCTCTCAGTACTGCCACGGACCAGTTACCTGAAATCTCACAACTCCCAGATGTCCCCATACACAATTCTTTCCTGCATTTTCCAAATGGCCCTGAGGGAGTTAACTCTCAGCAACTAAGATTATTTTCTTTTCCTTGCACTTGAACATGAAAAATCATTTGGAAGGTAGTAAAAAAGCCTCCCCAACCTTTCTTCTCATGTCGCAGATTCATTTTGCACAGAACTGCAAAGCAGCAGTGGTTGCCATGGTTACCTCCTCCTGGAGATAATATTAATGGAAACCAAAACTCCCATCCTGTCTGCGGAACAGTGATATTCAAGAAAAGAGCTGCAACAAGGTCCTCCACCTGCCATGTTCCTGCAGCACTGACCCGGGAGATCCTCTTGGCTTCGCATCCCCTGAGCTACGCTGACAGAGGGTCGTCCCTCACAGCACCAAGCCCTTGGCAAGACACGCTTTCTTCTTCTCCCCCTCCAAGCTCCCAGGCTGAATTCCCAGTGCTATTCTGGCTTTAAAACAAATGTCAACCAAACAGCCACCTGAAGCAAAACCAGATGGAAGAGGCCTGCTTTAAACCAGACCTCAGAGTCCCGCACCCCGCAGCTCAGTCCACTGGCCACGTGGTCAGTATGGACGTACCCCCCCCCCGCTGGGTTCTCTTTAGGTCAGTTTTAGATTTCTCAAATCACCAGGGCATTTTTAACTTGCAAACTACAAATATCTCTTACACCGATATATATATATACATATATATATATATATATATATATATATATATGCGTATATATATAACAGCAGTGACAGAATTCTTTGTCACAGGTTTCTGAAATTCTTGCTGCACAGGGTAGAAACTCCTGATGTGGCTCAGGCCAAGCTGGGTTGAGCCCTGGGAACACCAGCGCGTGGGCAGAAGAGTGTCTAGGAGGCAGCAGGTGCAGTGACACAGAGGAGAGCCCCACAGCTGTGCTGAGGTGGCTTCTTGGTGCCAGGGTACTTCTGTGACTTCTTTACTGCACTGCAATGTAAACACAGCCCGGGATTTCCAAAAACTAAAGATCAATCTTTAAAATGCGACTCCTTGGACAGTAATAACATTTCATCAGTTAACCACCCACACCCCTCACCAGTGGATTTTCTTTTTCTTTACGCTTCTTTGCTTCTTCTGCAGTAGCCAATAGTACCGAGGACTAAGGATATGGCTACAAAAAAGGGGCTTCTGTTCTGTGAGCTCTAAATAAACCTGCAATTCACAGTCTTTAAGATTGAGAAATCTTTTAAAAAGCTTAGAAACAAAAGAAATATAGCAGAGCTTCGGTTGAAGTTACTGACCTGTTTATTCCCCACTTCAAAAAAGAGTAGGCACAAAAAGCAAACGGAAATGGAAGTGGCCAGTGACCTTTAACAGGTATTTGTAAGGGCAATGCCCTCATCTGAGTAACTAATCCAGCCCTCTCTCCACTCCTCACACTCCCTCAGCCAAGCTAGTCAAAACCCCAAACCCTAAAACAAGGAATAAAAACGATTCCAGTGGTGATTGGAAAGTCCCTTTGCCACCAGCCTGGTACTGCTTCTCAGCCGCAGCACAGACTCGTGGAAACCTCCGAGCTGATGGCTGGTCTGGGGAAATCTTGACTTGTGGCACCCAAGCCACCATCATTTATTCTTCTATAAACAACAGTGTAATTATAACTGTAGTGCTGTTCTTCCTTCCAGACTTCAACATCAAAATCATCAACTTCTGTGCCCCACTGGCAATTAGCCAGCAGTATTTCAGTATTACCTCTGCCAGCTGAAATAATGCTGGTGTTCCACACAGTTCTGTTAAATCAGAAGGACCTGAACGGGATGTACTTGAAGAAATCTAAAGAAATAACAGAGGGGGAGAAGAAAAAACATTATTCTACCATCACAATTCTTTTATGTGTACCACACAGCTTTTGAACGGATTGTTTTCTCCCTCTTCCCAAAATTCATTCATAATATTATATATTGAAGTCCCGATCTGTGCATGCTGTTCTAAATAAAACCCTGCTCCACCACTGCTCCAGTGGACAACACCACTGGACCCTAAAAGCTATTTCCAGCTTTGAGGATCTTCTCAGGACTCTCTTCAAGGAGCAGGATGAACTGAAGCACAGGCTCTCTCACACACAAACCCCCTCAGCAGCTCAGCTCCAATCCACGCCACAATCAGCCCAGCTGGTGCGGCTCTCGAAGGCTTAGTTGGACACATGATTGCAAAATCATTTCATTGCCGTCCTTTAAGAAGGTCACTGCTGTCAGGCCTTGGCACTGCCACGTAAAAGTGATGCTACAAAACCAACACGAAACAGAAGCCCGCAAGCCTTTGGTGACCTTCACTGCTCCTCGGGGCAGAGGAGGCTGTCTCTGGCAAGCAGGTAGCTGATTATTCCCCAAAATCCTTTTCCTGTATCAGGTCATGAACTTCTTCAATACTTTAGAGTGTTTTGCATCGGTTTTGAGCTAGATGCAAAGAAATGATCTTTTCCTAAACAAATTAAAAGCATCAGGCTCCGGGCTGGCCATTAGTATGAAGAAGAGAACGTTCTGTCTTTGAGGACAGAGCCCATAATCTCTCGCAGTTTCTTATACTTGTTTCCTTAGACAGAGGTGGAGTTCTAGGGACTGAGGAACTGAAGTGTTTATAACCTCTGGCGAGTTGCGGAGGCGCCCGGCGACCGCCCCTCCTCGCCGCCGCC